GGGACACCCTGTATTATTCTTGAATTCTAAATCCTTATCAGAGAAATTTGATAAAGATATCTTCCTCCCATTCAACAACTTCCCTTCTTCTTCCAGGTGAGTTAATTTGGTGTGTGCAGGAGCTGTTCAGTTTGATGTAATCATAGTTCTCTCTTTTATCTCTAATTGCACCTCCTTCAGGTAGCTGTGAAAGCTATATGATCTACTTCTCTTCTAATTTTTTTTATAGTATGATCTTTAATATTAAGATTACACATCCATTTAGAATATATTGTGGAATATGCAGTAGTTTCAGGTATTGGTCCAAGTTTAATTTCTACCAGACTGCTTTCCAGTTTTCCCTGCAGCTTTTTACTAAGTAGGGAGTTTTCTGCTAAATAACTTTTGTTTGCTGGTTTATTGAACACTGGGTTATTGAGTTCCTGATTCTTCCTTGCCTAGTCTATCCAGAGCAGAATTTAAGCTAGGATTGATACTTGAATCCTGATGGTCTCCTCAGGATTGGCTGGATGACCTCTAAGGCCCTTCTAAGAAGAAATAAGAATCAAAAGAGAGTGTCAGGTATGATCCCGAAGAATTTGTGGCTTTGCTGGTATGTATTTGCAGACCTGAAGGGTGCTTGCCTAGATCTCAGAAAGACTTAGCATGTTATCATACAGCCTGATTTGAGACAATTCCAACCCTGTTCAGTAGGGGGAGCTTAATTCTTCTCTATTTACTCTCTAATTTCCTTGGTATGGTGTTGAAGTAGGAAAGCTACTTAGTGCCAATGGCAGGTATGAGACTAAAATTGTGATTTGGACACACATCCCCAACGAATTTTCATGTGAAAGTAGTGTCAGTGACATCATTCATAATTGAGGTGTTGATTTGGAAGCAAATGATTCTAAAACCTAGTGCTAGTTGGTAGAGAAAATGAAGTCCTGTGTGAGCAGAAAAGTCAAAGTTTGATAAGAGTTTAAAGTAGCAACAACCCCTTGTAGAACATACCTAATTTTCCTGTGTGGTGAGTCAATTCTTGTTGAGCCATCGATAGATGGTATAAAGACGTGCTTGCTTTACCCCTTTTAGATCTCCCCCCCATCTAAAATTGAAGTAAGAGAAAAGTTTTAAAAATAGATAATATTATAGTAGTCTCTACTAGCCTTGAAATGCCTGACATTAATGGAATTTATTTTATTGGAGACTTTTACTCCACTGGAGTTTAAGTTTCTCAAAGGTATGGAATGTTTCTTTTTTTTGTCTATATCTCCCCAGCACTTAGCAGCAATACCTTACACATGATAGGCACTGCATAAGTCTTTGGTAAACTGAAGTTTTTTGTTTGGAAATGTATTTTAGATCCATAGCTAGAGGGCATATTGTGACAGCTTTGGCCTAAATGCAAGATTGGTGATTTAACTCCAGGTCTGAGATAGTTGGTTACTGAAGGAAAAGTTTCAGGTCTTGATTTTGAGGCAGTAACTTGAAGTGCTGTCTATGCTTCATGTTTAGTATTACTGTGTAGCTGATATAAAGGCATTTCACAAACCTGGCCATTAGCCCTCATAGCAGAAGACAAAGTCATCCTCCAGGGAATAAAGTAGTCCAGACTGTGTCTTTCCTGTAGTTAATTATTGTTCCTTTGTCTCCTGCTTTTGCCATCAGAAGATAGGTTGAGCTTGAAGTTTATTCTGTTACAAGGTTAAT